AGTACTGACCATATCACAAAGTGCTTCAGTAGATCAGTGGCATGAATGTAGCTATAGTAGTTTGTTTTGTTTGTCTTTCAATGATTTTGTGGTTTAAGAATACAGACTACTGACTAATTCTTTTGACTCGAACAGGCTCAAGAAACCTATGCATTTTGGCTGGCTGTAAGCTGTAATCTTAGTAGTGTGTTTATGGCAATGTTTAAAAGACTTGGCCAATATTACTGTTCTTTCTAGTTCAGCAACTATAAAAAGGAATTAATTGATGGTGGGGTGATGGTGCAGTAGATAAGACTCATGCCTTTCGGGGTGAGAGACCTAGGTTCAATTCTCCACTGTGACATATCTGCCAATGTGTCCCTGAGCAAGACACTTAACCCCTAGTTACCCCAGAGGCGTGCGACATGACGTACTTAGCAGTTGTTAGTAGCTTTGGATAATAGTGTCAGCTAAATGAATAAATGTAATTTGTTTAAACTGCCGTTGGACCAGGTCTTAAACTGCCCTAGATTGAACTCTGGGGTTTAAATACATCACTTTTCCAGCTATATCCACTGCTGTAGAATCAGGTGGACTAAAGAAATCTCTGACCAAAAGAGACTCCAATGAAACTGAGAAGACCCAAAATAAAAGACTTAAAATACCAACCATTAACTGGGACAACAAATCCCAGCATGTTTTGAGGACATTTATCAGAAAAAGGACATATCACCACAACCAAGATGCTATAAAAGTGAGTGTTATCCCCAGAAATCAGGTCACAATCAGTTAAAAAACAGAACTACAACTTTACTTCACTTTGCTTTCAAAATAACTGAATGTTTTTTGAGGAAACATGAGGAACAGACAGTACAATACCTTGAGTCAGTTACGAGAATGAAAGCAACTGCTTGCAGTGAATATCCTATATCCTATCCTATATGTCTGTCATGTTTCCAGGATCACAGATATTGAAGTAGATGGTTATTACATGCATAAAATCTGTTTAATCATTTGCTGGCTGTTGATCAAAAGACAGAGAAATCCATTTTGTCAAATCCTGCAGCGTTCTGTCAGCCTGAATCTTACACGGGAAGTCCCACAGAGACTAGTTAAGACAGGTTAGCTATTTATCCAATTTGGACTCTGTTAACTGCATGGCACTGTCCTGTCAGTTTTGTCTAGGTCAACATTTTAAAGTGAATTATTTTAGCATCCAAACACATCTCTTTGCCAGATGACTATGACTAGAATAAACAAGATGTGTGCCTGTGCAGGTGGGGAAATTAGATGAGTTATGCCCTTGTGCATGGCACCCACAGTCTAGTCCTTGAATACTTGAGCTGGTACTGAGTGGCCAAAGTGTGTTTACTTTGATCAGCTGAGATGCAAACGACAAAAGATGGGACCCACTCATAAATAAACTGCTGCGTTGAGCTACAAATGGTCAACTCCACCGATTATATTTAATAAAGCATTATCAAAATTAAATTAAATTTATTCCGAGGGGCACTTAAATTCGACATTTTGGTGAAATGGAATAAATGGAACAACAAATGGAGTAAGTTACAAAAATTTAACCATGTCATTCTTCTCTCATTTTCTTTTCATAGCAGTTTTGTGGCATTCTTAAACATTAATGTCAAGCATTCTGAACACTACTTCTAATTGATTCCTATAATGTTGACCTAATGTCTATGATGTAGTTTTGTGCAATGTGCCACCAAAGAAATAAATGACGCCCAAGCCACAGAGCTGCAACAGAAACTCTGGCAAATAGAATCAAAATGAAAAAGACAGTGGCTGCCATAATCAGCACGTTAATCAACTAAATATATTTGTTTTAGGTATGTATGACACATTGACCGTCACATAATTCTGTGGCTGATCTGCTTTGCTTTCTCACCACAAACACACGCACCAGAGTTTGTCTGAAATGAGACATCCGCCCAACTTTTAAGGTGGACTCAGTGTGCTTGCTCAGTAAATGGAACCGGACCAAACAGGAAAAATGCACCAGATTTAATTTAGAGTGTACTAAACACATTAGGCGTGAATCCAGGCTGTAACTGGTCTTCTTCAGAAGGAGCCTCTTTGAGGGTGATGTCATCCATTTCAAAGATATTTATTGTATGAACGCTCAGTGATATTTGCTCTCCAGGCTAGCACTGGTATAAGCCATTGCTTTTCCTTGCACAAAGATTAACAATGCGGTTTCTGTCTCTGAGCACAGCTTTGTGAAAGATATTTATTGGAATTTCCATCACCAGGGAAGACTAATGTTCTAGGGCTACCCAAAATGCATCTGCATCGATTTCACTGCCCCTGGTCCAGAGGTGGACTCTGGCTTGCCACTTCTACTCTTTCATTGGTTTGAACTGCTCTAATGGAACTATCCATTATGAAGAACTGTCTGTCTGTCTCACTCACTAAAGATTGGATTATTAAGGGAGCCTCTCGCAATCATTTGGAGAGATACGAGAGCATGTTTGTAATTAATCATGCAGATTGAGGAGCTTGACTTGTTACAAGCCTGTGAATATTTAGAGCTGGTGCCCTGCAGTTAAGGTGATGCAATACTGAGCAGGAGGGAAAAAGGAATGCGATCAAACTGGAATTCAGAAAGGATAAGTGGGGATCCAAGCTTTGTACGTTTCTTTTCACAGTAACAGAAATATTCAGTAGTGATGGCCTATCGTAAAATGAAACATTCAGTCAGTGTGGAACAGCAGTTCTCCAGTGCAACCTGTTCCTCTGGCCTCAGATACCAGTGCGACTCAAACTGCTCTAGTTTCTTTTTAGGCCACCACAGAGACCCATGGCTGTTCACAGCTTTCCATCCTTACCCTCCTATTACTGACACAGTTAGTAAAGCCCACAGCGAGAGGCCATCATCCTCTCTTTTAACACTATTTTGTTTTCTATGTGATATTATTAGAACCAACCCAGAAATGCTTGATGAATGACAAGCACACATCCACTGCAGGACTGAGAAATTGTACTCATCTTTCGATAAACTTCAGCGTGAGCTCATACACACATGAGCATATGACTTGTGATGGTTGCCATAGTAATCTCCCTGAGGCACAAGGCAATTTTTGGAGTAACTGCTATGGGCAACAGCAGCGCCTCAGCATCGCTGCTTTGATCAAATAGAAACAGTCATTTGAAGGCCAGGAATCATTTCAATAGATTTTGAATAGAACAGATTTTGACCTTTTGTTAATTTTTCAACTATTCTGTGCTTGAATTCAGAAGTCAAGTGTAACTTTCAAGTACAAGATAAGTTTTTTGCACAGTGTAAGAACATTAATTAAATGCCTGAAAATTTTTCTTATCCTGCTTGCCCATGGTGTTGTGCTGCTGAACTGGTAGAACCTTGAGTTGTATGGCTGACTAGATCCTCTGATAAGTGCAAATACTGTTGTACAGTTACAGAGAGACGAATTTCCCCCCATTCTATCCACTGTTATAGCCAAAATAACCAACCAACAAAACAAAGCAGGTGCAGTGTGAGCAAGATAATTTACAGCTAAAAACAATTTAAAAAAATGGGTCCTGCCTTAAGAATTTTTTGACAACTTTTTGTGTTAGTTTTTGCAGTTTTGGCTATCATATATTTTTGGTGTTGTAACTTTATACTTTCTTAGATCTTTGACTGAGGCAACATTATTACAGTGGAGTCCATTAGGGCAAGTAACATGAGCAGTAAGACCATCAGTCAGTGCTCTCATTTAAAGCAGCATCAATCAGTATCCGTATATTAACAGTGAATCCGATGTGTATTGTTAAAGTGATTCTCATAGGGACAAATTAGTATCATAATAATGTTAAATCTTTTCTGCAGCTCCAGAAAGCTTTTTAGCCTCTCTTGAGCTCATAGTTTTGCTTTTACAGCACAATTAATCTCTGGTTCAGTCCCACCACTCTCATCAGCACCATTTCCAAAAGCAGCAGGCTGCTGTTTTAAGCAAAATAGCTCTGATAAACCACTTGCATACTACCTGCGTAGCACCAAACAGCAGACAGACAGTTTGGAACTTACTGAGGATGAAAATGAAACCTCTAGGAGCCAGGTATTTGTTTTGATCCAGACCTTGGGGACCATTGTTCTAGGGTCTGTTTTTTGGGGGGTTTTTTTTAGACCAAACCAGAGATTAAGAAAGACATGCTCCATGACGTGTTAACAGGTCATTGTTAATTAAAAAGTAAAGGCATTAACATATCATGGCTTTATGTCTGCCAGCTGTTTTGGAGTTCTTCTGCCCTCTAACATCAAAAATATAATAATTGCAGCTTTAACATGGACCCTTCCAACACCTGACCTTTAAAACAGGGCTCAAGTTAAGGTTAGAGTTTGTTTTCAGTTAAGATTTAAATGAGTGAAGGTTGATATACGTAGCTGTTTCAGGCTACACTGTAGCTGACGTCCACTGCCCAAAAATGTAAGCGCTACAGAGCTACAGAGATGCCACATGAAGACAGCAAGAAAGGTAGTTGATCAGCTAGGGCCGCTTTTATATTTGCCTACAGTACATGAGGCAAGGCTCAGTTATCTGCTACCTTTCTGTAATGCACATCTAGCAAAGACACTGCAGACCTGTTCACCACAATCCCTGCACTCTATCAGTCAATAACAGAACATAATTACGGCAACTGCATGGAATAGTCCCACGACACAGGCCGAACCTTCCCACCATCACTCTATATCACAATGTGAATGATGTAGGAATATAATTAAAGCATGATACTATCTGATCAGATACAATATGTTCATCAAGTGTAAAGGTGGTGCTATCAACAGGTGAAAACAATGCTGAACTATAAATCAAAACCTTTGCTGCAGGATTCGCATTAATCTTTGTGTCAGCTATAAATCCAGCTAATACAAAACTGAAATCCGCCCACTTGTATGAAAGCATAAAACAGAAAAAGTCCGCTTGTGCTAAATAAAAAATGTTTACCATTAACATAACAAACAGCTGAATCTTTAACACACACACAAATACGTGCATGCACACCTGTTCCAAGGTACAGGACACTGTAGTGCTCATCGTTGACCGCCAGGACAATGTCTGCCACAGTGTGCGTGATTTGGTCATCTGTCGGAAGGTCGAGTGGAGCCACACCAACAGGCCGGATCACATCCTCAATTTCTGGGTGGTATCTGATAACCCCGAGGTTCTTGATGTCGTTGTGACCTCCTCCTCCTACTGTCGAGTTTTTGCGGACACACTGAGAGAAGTGATGTAATCGATTCAGACCAGGCTGGGCTCTTGAATAAACATAATGCCCTTGGACACAGAGTTCAAAATAGCTTATCTTTTATTAACTCATGCCTTTCAAAAATAGCACTTCAGTCTTTTCACCACTGAAATAAAGGCTGACTCATGCAATTGTAATTTTCTTTCTCAGTGCTGTTTTTTTAGATTTGTCTGACAAAAAAGAAAAGAAAAAAAAAAGAAAAATTGTGTTGATTTTTCTTACCATCCCAGGGCGACTGCCAACGAATGGACTGCTGTAGCCCTTCAGTTTAGATGTGGAGAAAGCCTGGTCAATATCTTCGATGGAGTATGCACAGATCACTGTTCTTCCCCTGAAGAAAGGGAGAGAGAAATGTAATTACATCCACAATAAAATCAGGGCAAGTGGTTATGGGGGACATGTAGGGGCAAAGCTAGAAATTCTCAGCCAACTGAGGGCCCTAAAAAGTAAATGTCTATAATACCTGACTTGTTCTTGAGCAGTGGACCCCCTAGAGCGAATCAGTGTCTACCTGTTATCCCTTCTCACCAGTTAAATAGGTCTAAACATTTGTGGCCAGTTAAATTAAGAGATTTCATTTTGGGACAACTGTTGTATTCTTTTTACTTTTAGACGCTATAAAAATAAAATTGAATTATTGAATTAGTCACAGTTGCTTCCAGCAGAAATTCAACCTTGGCTTCAACCTTCATTGGAAGTGCATTTAACTTACTGCTATGCACCTCCACACATAGTGAAAGACGACTCAGAATGTAACTTTTTCAGTGTTTGTTTGTTGTGATGTATATGTTTATTTATTTTAGATTATGACAGAAACTGGAACTGTAAATGAAATTTGTTTTAAGCTTTTTGTATGGCAGAGGGCCATTAATGTTAGCCCCTCCTGCATTCAGATGTTTCTCTTTTTCTGCAGTGAAAAAACCAACACAACTTCACAACTCACGATATGAGAATCTGCCAAAATTAGTTATACTTGTATGTGAGGTCGTACCATGACTTGTAAACTTGCAATACAAGTGTATACCTCAGCTGATATTGCTGAAAAACTAATTGCATGTGTGTACTGCAACTTCATAGTTGTTAAAAATGTGAGTCAGTATTTTGAACAACTTGAGAAATATATTGACAACGTCTTGGAGAAAATTACACCACAATCTGTTCTGTATCATCAGATGTATGACAGCTGATATTGCTGGAATATCGCAAACTTTGTGAACAATTATTCATCAGATTCTTATTCACAGGAAAATGTTATTACAGTTTAATGAAAGAGGAACCAACACTGATAAAACACCTTTTTTTTCAAAATATGATATAATGAAGAAACTTGTGTGTGTGTGTGTGGATGTGCTGCTGGTATGTGGTATGTACTGCTGTGTGGGTGGACAAGTGTCAGTTACTGTGTTATTCTTTTATTGTGTTATCAGTTTGTTTCATTGTATTATTTGCATGTTTTGTTTTCACGGAACCTGATAGACCAAACATATTTTCTGAATATAAGTCAGCATTAAGTCTGACTTAAGTCAATATTGAACGCTGGATTATGTTGCTCTCCTCTATGGTTATACTGTAAAGTAATTTACAACCTTAGGAATTTACTTCTTTGAACTCCATAATACTACATACATCATACATCCTCAACTTCTTTTATATTAGGTTATGTTTACAACACAGCATCTGCATAAAAAAAGAATTTCATCAAAACAGATTAAGTCAAAGTAAAACAGTTGCAGGTACTTGCTCATTCAAGAATAATAGAGGTGTGTTTTGACATAGGTTCAGGCAACATCCAGGTCTATTGTGTAAAAGGTGTGTAATGTCCAAAGGCAATAAGTATGGTTTGTATGGGTGATGTTATTGACAGTGACAGCATGTGATTACACAGCCTGTCCTCAGCAGAAAAATAGGTGTATAGGTCATCTGTGCAAGCTGCTTATTATGACCCATATTTATGTTTATTTTTAGGCTGTGAACCCAAGAGACTAGAGGAAGGTGATTTCTGAAATGAAAACCGGGACATTTTTGGTTTGGTGGTCAGTATGTCATTAAAAAATATAATGTTATAACATATGAAATAAAAAGGGGGCAATTTCGGTTTTAAAAACTGTCAAATATAACTCTTCTGAATGAAATCAAGTCATTCAGAGGCTAAATCTACCTTCCAGGCAATAAGTAGAGGCTGCAATCACTTTATGGCAAGTGGAATACCGCATTAAATGGATTTTTTTGGCCATTTAATGGGATAATTTTCTTTATTTTACACAGCAGTAAGTCATGTTCATTATAGGCAACATTCCTTTTTCCATATATAGACAAGGATATTAGACATATACGTCAACCAAACACATATTCCATCAGCAACAACGGGGTTCTGTTATTGCTTATAATCACGTAAATGTCATGCCTGGTTAAGCTATAAACTGCAAACACTTATTTGGCCACAATTGTGATTATTCTGTTAAAAGTATCACTTTGGTATCACCATGACACAAAGTGATGTTTATTTGCACGTTATGTCGGTTTGATCCAGATAAAAGCAGCTGTAGTCGTAAACTGGGCGATACAGCTTTAACATGCTGCGTGAAGGTTCCTTCAGCCCACTGTTGTGTGCGTTTCCACCATGGTCTAAAGACCTGCGAAGATTAAGCAAATTAACCAGCTGATATAGGCTGTAAGCCATACAAAGGGATGCACAGGCATCATTATTTGTAACCACTATCCATGAGCAAGAGATGTGACTGGAATATAATGAAAAACTATAGGCTTTGCTTGACCATTAAAGCATTTTTTTTTGTGTGGGAGCTATAATGAAGAGACACACGATAAAGTTTGTTACACATTTAATAACAAACTGGATAAACCCATCAAGTTCTTCAAATAACTCCAGCACAGAGAGAAAGCAACACAAAAATAAAATCGCGACAGTTTGGAAGGTTATTAAAACATTTCCAGCGACAAGAGCTGCAGATCAGCTGTAGGACCGTGTCGCCTTAGCATCGGAGGAACGTGATGTTTAACGAGCTTAATTACCTGCTGTAATCAGCTGTTCCGCTTGTTTCGGAGAGGAGGACACCGACTTCGTCTCTGTGTAAAAACCTCCTGACTGAAACTTAAAACAACAACTCCGGACCCAGTATTTAGCGTAAACACACCGCTGCACGCTGGCTGCTACTTCCAATATATTTAATGCCAACATACGATCTCAGGCGGACATCGGCGAGACCTGTGTGCTATTTGACTGTTGATTGTGATTTATTTCACTGCAAGGCAAGCCCCGCCCCCCAAAGTACCAGTACTTTCAGAAAGTACTACCTCCTGAGCAGTGACTTTTTGGGGGGTAAAATGAAGACCCCAGAACTATATTTAGACCCTGGTCCCTCCGGTGGAAAAACAGTGACTTCCTCCAAAGGTTCCTAGTTCCGGGGGAATAGTTTTTTTGGTCGAAAAGCAGCTTTTGGGAGTCATTGGAAATCAACCAATTCTGTCATTTAGGTATGAGGGAGTGTTGTTATTTCACCATACTGTGTCAAAATGTTTGAAGACACCATAACTAAAGAAGCAATACAACTAATAGCCACTAAGTTATTGTCTGGGAAAATGTAAAGCTGTTACTTCACGTTTATGTTTGTTTTGGTCTCTCCCTGACATGAGTTGAATCAAGCAATCAACACATTGACTTCTCTGCTAGCCTCTGCAACCTATAGTTACCCATAACACCCTTCTCTGACGAGGAGACATTTACAAAAACCATTGGAAAAGCATAATTCCAGCTTCATGCAACACAACAAAACTTTGTTCTTTCTTCGTTTTATATCCCTGAAATCTTTGAAATAACAGAAATATAAAATATACAGTGTAATTCCTCTTAAGCCAATTAAACTGAAGTGTTTATGATATGTTCCAGCTCACCATGCATTGGAAAATAGGCCGTACATGACCCCGGCCCTTTTGTCCTGCGCTGTAAGCACCACCGCCTGCTTCATGTTGTTGTACTGCTGCTGAGTGTTTCCTGCACCGCACATCACCCGGGCCTTCATGAAGGTGGTCCATGAGTTCTCCAGCAAGGCTTTGATGCCCCCTTCATCCACCTGGAAATAACATAAACAGTATGTGACAACAAAGTCATAATACGGCAGCCAAGATGCCAAATTGATTTAGAATTTTACTTTTTGTTTCCAGACAGAATGTGACACTGCCCCCTGAAAAAGAACACCAGGACTCCCTTTACCTCCCTTATAGCAATACTCATTTTGGGTGTGGAAAGATTCTGCTTGGTCAAACTCTGAGCATTCAGTACATAGATTTGTCCAAGATGTGTGTAGCCTAGCTTAGCATAAAGACTGTAGGCAGATGGAGACAGCTATTCCTCCACAAATACCTGAGCTAGACAGGCTAACCATTGTACAAAACATTATTAACATACATTTTCTGCTCTTATCATGTATTTTTGGATTTTTGTGTCTGAGATTTATTTTCAAGGATTATGAATCTCACATGGCGTCAGGTGTATTGCCATTGACATCTGATTGTTCAGCTCCAATAAAACGTAGCAAAATGTTTATTTAAACGGGAACAATGGTGAATTGAGTAGTGCAGTGTTAAACAAGCATAGCAACTACGGCAGCTGAGATGGCCATTGTCTGCATTCTTTTATAAGAATGCCTGATTAAATCGATTTAAATATGTGTTTAATACTATAAAATACACTAGATGTTACACTTACTGCCCTTGCCATCCAGAATAGCAGAGAACATCCCATCAAGTGACAGGGTATGTGGAAATGTCGGGGCAGGGTTTATAGGCCTATGTATGTTGCTGCTGATTGGGTAACACATCTGAAAGTCGGCACACCTCAAAGCCGGCGTTCAACAGTGCACACTGGCTTGCAATTGGATGTGTCCCTGCTTTAACATCACTGATTGAAAGGCAAATTTGCTACAACTCTGCATGTATTTCGTGCATGTATTTTTAGAAAATAAACTCCAAATGACAGTAGTAGTACTATATCACCTTGGATTAAGTTGCATCTTCACTCAGCACATTTGGGATTTGTTTCAACTTTGAAGCATTCAGTCCTTTAGTTCATTTTATCAGCAATTCACTTATAACCAGTGGTTTCCTTTCAAAACAACATTTGTACAGAATCTTCTGCCTCTTAAGCTTATTCCAATGACACAATCTGAGAAGTGCAAAGCACTCTTACGATAAATGCAATGTGATTAGACTTGCAAGACTAGAAAAATGTTGGGAAATACCACTTTAAACTCATGCAAAGACCTGGATTTATCCACAATTCCCTAAACACAAGCATAAAAGTGGGATTTTTACTGTGCAGATTCAGCCAGCATTAAGAGGCTTGCAAGAGCAGAACAATGTTGGGAAACATCACTTTAAACTCATGCAAAGACCTGGATTTACCCGCATTTTCCCAAACACAGGCATATAGTGGGATATTTACCGTGCAGATTCGGCCAATGCGGGCCCTGTAAGGTTCCTCGTCCACTCTGGCTGTCTTGTTGAGCTCACTGAAGAAGAAATAGATCTCCTCCTTGAACTTTTGTGAAGACGGGATGATTGCTGCACCGGCAAATTGTGGATCTGGTGATGAGATGTGAGAATTGGGTGTAAATATAGTTCTTGATTGGCATTGTACCACTAAATAACGTGACCTAAACCATACACTGACAGTGAATACACCTACATGTTATTTTCCCGATGGGAATGATTGTGGGTGATTTAGAGAGAGTACCACCCACCATCTCCATATGTATTAGTCTAAACCTGTAAGGTTTCTGCTTTACTCCCCTCCTCCTACTCACTCAGCAGCCAAATGTTCTCCGTCTTCAGGAGTTTCTGGGAGCCAAACGTACGCCGGATCGAGCCGGAGTGACCTGCCACTGACGACATAGCAGAATACAGACTCCCATCTGAGACAGAAAGGGAAAAAGACAGAGAGAAGAGAGGGTGAACAGTGGGAAAAAAAATAGAAGGGACAAGGTTCAGAGAGAGAGGAAGATAGATTGGAGCGACACAGCAGGGGATTGACTGAAGTTGGAGGAGAGGAAGATACAGACAGAGAACATTAAACACAGAAAGGGATAGTGAAGGCAGAAAAAAGGATGCCCAGGAGACCTAAGACCGAATAAAAAACAGGGGAGGAGAGAAGGAAGAGGAAAGCAAGAGCAAAGAAGACATCAAGGCAGAATGGCTGACTGCATCGATGAGCAGCCACCAATCACCATATTCGTATAATCCCACTTAGAACTCTGTCTCCATAGCAATGCAGAGGGGAAGCGTTTGAAATCGTGGCAGTAGCATCTTAATAAGACAAATCGTTATTAGAATGCTGCTCAACTAAGCAAAGGGCCCGCTCGTTGCTTTAACAATTGATCCCCATCTGAAAGAGCATCCTGCAGCGCAAACTAACCTCTCACTAATTTCTGAGTGTCCTTACCATGCATCTGCATTAGATGGTTTAACAGACAATTTGTCCGTCCCTCATCATGCGCTGTGACTACTGAAAGGTCAGTTTAATTCGAAAAATCTCTTAATGTTAATGTTACCCTGCACTTCTCAATAGTTATGCAATTAGGAGTGTCACTCCCAGCAAACAGGTGCAAGGCACTAATGTCCTATGTGGTGAAAATGATGTATTACACCCCTAACTGGGTCATTTTTGCCTGTATAGAGGGTTTGTTTTATAGTTATCTTTATGTGATAGAACCTTTCTCACGAGAAACAAACCAACTGTGCTGCTTTGAATAAGAACATCTGTGATGTAGGAAGAAAAACAATGAAAAATATTGCCACTAGCAATGTCAATGATTGGTACACCAGACTGCACCAGAGAGCCAGTGGTCTGTGAATATTGAAATGTGGCCAGGTATTGCGTTTCCTGAAATATACTAGATACTGTATTTATGTACCTTGACACTGGGGAAGGAATGGAAGTAGACAAAACATGCAGGACATATACATACATATGCCTGGTCCCCTTGAAGATAATTTATCAGCCTGATCAAAACCACTTCTTCTTTGGATTTTATTATTTTTAATTCCAAAAAATTGTTTAATTCCCAAAAATTGCCTGGTTACTTACCACTGAACAAGAAACCCTACCATCTTTTCTCTTTCCAGGAGTGTGTAAAAACTTCTGCCTGAATTCTTTTTGAATCTGTTTGTGCAGTCAGTTGTACAACAGCTCTATTTTAGAAATGTGTCCATGATTTTTTTTCCATGTGAATGCACAACGACAGATGGCTGACTTTTATGTGTTTGGCACTCAGGTTGGTGTGATCCCTTGGTTGATGTTACACTCAACAAATTACATATATATGATCTGCTTAAAGACACAGGCATGAAACCATTACAACTCTCTGACCATCCATGGGTCATATTGGCCCTGTGTTACTGGCTCTTCCTAAGTTTTCTTTCTCCTGATAGCCCTATGGTTATGTCTTATTGTTCTTTTGGGGGATGGGTGGGTAGTAGTAGGAACAAGACGGGGGGTTTTCCATTTCCATACCAACGGTCTAAGGAAAAAGTGCGTTTTATACATTACAGATTGTAAAGCCCTTTGAAACAAATGTATGATTTGGGGCTAATTTAACTCCATACAAGGAGTGTTTAATTGGTTATGAAACAGTCTCAATAATACTGATCCTCTATATGACCTAAACGAGACCATCAGCATCAAGACTGACTATTTCTGTATTCTAAAGGCCTGTCACCAGGTCGGATTCCTCTTGAAAGCAGACAAGACAATTTAAGGTATGCAGACTGGACAAGCCTATGTTTACATTTTCCAAGACAAGTTAATATGTAAAAGGAAGCAGGAGACGCTTGAATTTTATTTTTGATTTTGTGTCTATGGCTGGTACTAGGGCAGGATCAGCAAAGAGAACAGATAGAGAGAAATGCAGGATTTGAAATGAGTTCTTTGTGGCTACTTGTAGTTGCTTTAAATAAAAAAGATGTCACTTGACTTTGCAGTAACACTTTAAACTTTTAAAACTTCTCCAGCTCTATTTGCAGCTAAATACGTTACGTAGACCAAGGCTCTAACATTGATAGATAAAGACTTTGATTCAAATATGTAGTGAATTGCCTTCACCTTATAACCTTTACTTTAATGATGCTCATTTTTATTGTCAAATTGATTCAAAAGCTACTCAACTTAGATAGATGAAGTATAGTTAAAATTAACAAAAGAGAAGTGTGATGTAAAAAATAAAAACACAAATACAAGCTTGCCCAACATTTACTGTAACCACAGGTATTGACCAATTAGAATGGAGCATTACAGGCAACATATTAGATCTTATTTAAGGTACAGTACATATGTTTCAGCCAAGTACTACATGATCTATTAAAATCTACAAACACATCTATCTTGTAGATGATTGGCTCTTTAAAATATTATAAGGTACTTTAGATAAAAGCATCTACTCATTTGCATATTATGAATACAGAGTGATAATAAGAGACAGATTGCTCCTGGGAGCCTGGGACTCACAAGTGTCGCTCTGCTGCTCCCAACTCAAATAAGCAAAGTTAATATAGAGTTGGCTTTGTTCCAATGTAAGATATTTGAAAAAGTTAGATCATTTGGAGAAAAAGGTGATGCTTAAGAAATGGAGCTCAGTTAAACTTTGATCAGAAAAAAAATACTAATAAATTTGGAGAAATGGAGGCCCACACATATTATTTAGCACAAGAGGTGACAGAGTGTGTCGGCCACCTTAGCTTCTCCTGCGCGCTTGGAAAGGGAGAGGTGAGAGGTGACTGATGGTGCATTCATGTGGTGTTGGAATAATCAGAATATATTTTTCCTCCTTAAATCTTTATTGCAAAAAGAGAAATAAAGTGTACATCAGACATAAAGAAGTATACAGAAGCTCTGACTTAAGAGCACAACACACACTGAAGTCCGAAGAACGACTTTATAATAGGACCATCCGAGAGCACGTGAATGCATTGTGAGTTGCTGGTTGCAATTTGCAACCCTCACCACTAGATGCCACTAAAACTTGAACCTTTAAGTAATGATTACTATACGTCCTTCTATTTGGGTCTGGTTGTACCAGCAATTTATAATGGCAAAATCAACAATTCATTTGAGTGGTTTAGGGTTAGGGGTACGGTTAGGGTTAGGTTGGAATAATCATGATAAGTGGCTTTCCTTGTGGGAATAGAGTTTAACTTTGCTAAACTTTGATATGCAAATCGCTAATGTCCAAAATAAAAATGAGAAGCTTCCAAGCTATTGTTTTGTCTAATTCCATTATACATACTTTAAAGGTAAAATTCAAATTGTACTGTATTGCTTTTGCGGCCAGCTCTGATCCAAAAATCCACCAAACAACATGACAAAATACATTGTTAGTAATTGCCTTCCAAAGAGACCTGATCTGACCAATTTTCTGCCATAAAGCCGAACCAAACTATTTTTTTTCCAGAAAGGCTTCCTTGTGTCCGTCCCTACCTTTGTTGTGACTGATCTGACTCCCCTATAGCACATTGTTTGTTGTTATCTTCACTGCTATACCAAATTGATTCACATGTCTGTTTTCTAAACTGACACTGATATGATTAAGGTTTGATTAGGTTTAGGTAAATAAACTACGTAGTTAGGGTTAAGAGAGATCATGGTTGGGGTTAAACCAAGGGGGTTCAATATATATAGTTAAGGTTAGGGAAACATTGCAGTTTAGATTAATATAACCACTTTCTTAAAATTAGAGAGCAGTTGGGCTATATAACAACACCAAACTACTTTGGGTTTTGCTCCTGGCATCGTAATTCACAAGTCTTGTTCAGTAAAAAAACCCCACTGATGCTGATTTTTGTTTTTGGTTGGTGAAGTAGCAAATCAAATCTGTTCAGGCTAGCTTGATGGCTAGCTTCCAACATTGTGGTGCTAGAACTGCAGGAACTTGTAAGATACTTTCGAATTAATTTGCTAATGTGACCAGAATCCTATCACTTCTAAAATTAAGAGGGAACGCCCATCTGTTTCATAATCTAATAAAATTAGCTTAAACTACTGCTCCTGTTATCTGCCACCAGACGATGAGAATGGGGTTCGAATCACTGGCAACAAAAAACTCTACTTTGTCAAAAACTCTCATCACATTGTCGTAGTTTGCTGATACTACATCTTGAAATCTGTAATGTTTTTGTAAGGATTTATTCGTTTTTCTTTCAGTGAATCATAAACTCCTATAAACAGTAATTTGTAATTTGATTTGTAATTTATTTTTTGTTTTACCTGTGGGCAAGCTGATGGACCTCTGGGAAGGGTATGGTGGGGAGATGTCAGAGGCCGACGCTATCTGCCCATTGCCCTGGACGTCAGTCAGCACGGTGTCATTTACCTACCGGGAGAGGGAAGAGGTGTTTGATCCTAGAGGAAGTCCAGCATTTTAAACTCAGAGTTATTGTTTTTTCACCACATAGGGTTTAGGAAATTTCAACTTATCCATAGGGACACATATTCATAACTTTGTGAAAAATCCTCTATGGCAATACATAACTCCCAGCCTTCATATGACCAGCTCAATAAATAAGAGAGGAAATAAATAAATATTAATTACAATGTTGGGACTGTTTAGACTTAAGGACCAGCTGCTAAGAATATAGTATAATAATGATATAACAGCATTTCAATGAATTGTATGATGAAACTCTCACCAGCATCCAGCACCTGGGGCTTCCAGCATTTGTCCCACATACTATGATTGTGTCGTTTACTTTCTGAATGACGGTGATGAAATTATCACACTCCAGCTGTGAAAGAAAGAGACAGTAACAGAGAGGGACAAAGGCAGAAAATGAGGAAGAAGCAAGTGGGAGGGGGAAAAAAATACACACAGACTGGTAAAGGGATTTAAGATGCAGATTAAAGATGCAGAGAGACAGAGAGGCAAAAAGAGCAAAAAACTGTGTAGAGAGAAGTGATTGGAGAGGAAGAAACTGCACAAAGGGAGAGAGAACACAAGAGAGAGACCAAGGGATTGAGAAAAACAAATAGAGGAAAAGAGGAAGGTGGAATTGAGGGATAGAGAAACAAAGCCAAGAGTACAACACCTAACAGATTACGAGAAGGAAAGCGGATTGCTCAGAGAGAGAGAGAGAGTTAAATAAAACTGGAGGCGATCCATGCTTTGCCGTTACATTTTTGGCAGACAGCACACAGGAGGCTTAGCCCTGCAGTACAGCACTGCAATACTCCATATGCATCACTTATTCATTAAGTACATAAAATGGGCTACTATCTCTAGGACATATACTGGATGGAGGATAAACATTATTACTGAGTACAACCTTAAGGGGTAAATGTTCAGTCAAGTTTGTTGTAGTGTTCAACAAAAGAAAAATGTTATTTGGAAAAAAAATGAATCACAAATTCTGATGGAAACAAGGTAAGTACAAAATTGGAGATGGCATAAGTACATCACAAAGTCCAAAAAAACAGGGCCAGAGCTTGTGTAAGTGTGTGTAGGTGGATGTGTAGGTGGATGTGTAGGTGGATGTGTAGGTGGGTGGGTGGGCTGGGTCAATTTGTCTGTTAGTGTAGGCAAGTTTGTATGTTTTTACTATGTGTAATACGTTCTTGAGAGAAATAAATCTCTAGAACTATGGAGTTCGGGCTTGTTTGCGGAGTGATTTTACAAGATCAACACTAAAATCTACCCTCAACCTCAACCTCAATCTTCAGTGGCTTCATTTTCTTGATCCAGCTAAAGCTGGTCTCTTTCATTCTTCAAATGTTATGTTGTTTTGCTGCACTGCTTGGCAAGAAGCTCGCAACACTGCTAACAATGCCCAGTGGAAAACCAGCCTAGTATCCCTAGAAATTACATCCATATTTAATGATTTTATGTCCAAAGCCAAGTTTCAGTGCCAATACGGGAAGTAGTAGTGAGGTGCTAAGTAAAGGCATTGAGGTCTTGTGGTGTGTAGGAGACCAGAGTTCACATCTCATCACTGAGCTCCAATTAAGGTTAGCCTTTTCATTAACTGTAACCTCAATATTTCTAAAACCTTAAACAAGTGTTTTAGTTCATCCTCCAGTATTTATGTTCTTGTCTGGAAATAGGTTACAGTTTTGGATTTAATAATTCACATATGAAGTTGAGAGATGTGTGTGTGTGTGTGTGAGAGAGAGAGAGAGATACACAGGGCTGATTGTTCTTATGTTGTGTATATATGATGCTTTGGCAATGTTGTTATTACATTCATGCCAATAAAGCTAATTTGAATTTAATTGAATTGAGAGAGAGAGAGAGAGAGAGAGAGAAACAGAGTGATAGAGACATTTTGAAAATCAGTCCAGTTTTTTGGGGCTTAAATACTTTTGTTAGACTGAACCTAGACTAACCTTCACCCTAACCCTTTTAGCAAACGTCTCCACAGCTTATCTCAACCTGAAAGCCGACTGGTGAGAGTTGATGACTGGGTCATTTAGGATGAGACGTTGTAGTAAGATTTAAGATTAGCTTTAATTAAGGTTTGCACTTTGTTCTTGTTATGTTCAACCTGGACCATATTTGCCCTTGGTGTATTTATTGGTTTGTGCGCTCAGGACAAACAGAAGCCGAGGTGGACAGGAAGTTCAAAAACACTGTGGACTGGGAGATGGTTGGTAATAGTCTTTCTATCAAATTGGGTGTGCTACCAACCACATAGCTTCATGTCACTCCAGGGCTTTGTGTTCCACAAACCTTGTATCTGTCCATCACGGAAGAATGTTGCCTCCTGTCCTTCATTTCCCTTCTCAGTACAACTGGCTTTATTGGGGAGGATTTACTGCATCACTCAGGACGTTCTCATTTTCCGTCACATGCCACTGCTAGACTCTCCTGAAGCTTTAGCGCTGCAGGAAATGCAGTGCTCCCTTTTGGGTGTATACTCACTACTGTGAGATATGGAGTGCAATATTGAAATGGTAGAAATCTAAGCCAATTGAATTGCGGAAGTGCTCTTGTCCCGATGACAACATACTCATGGTTGCAACAATACAGTGGACTCCAATTGACACGCTGCCCTTACAGAGAACACATTTTTTGGTGTGTTAAAATAGGAATCACACATCTTTGTTAAACCTGACAGCAGTTTATTGGCCTTGCCATTATTGCTGGACTGAAGTCTGAAGGGCTTCAAGCATCTGTATGCAGCCTATGATACAGTTACAGTAAATGTGATTTGAAAAGAATTGGCAGCTTTCAAAACAAAAATGTTAATTTAAGAAATAGATCAACTACATAGATTAAATTGATCATCACTTTCAAGCAAGATGTTAGTTATTTTATGTTGTCAGCACTCTGACAAGCAATCATCTACTGATTATGTATGTATGGAAAAAATCATGTGATCTGCAATATCAACTAATAATAATAATAATTATTATTATTATTTGTGTTTATTATTGTGTAAGTGTGTGTAGGTGGATGTGTAGGTGGATGTGTAGGTGGGTGGGTGGGCTGGGTCAATTTGTCTGTTAGTGTAGGCAAGTTTGTATGTTTTTACTATGTGTAATATGTTCTTGAGAGAAATAGTTCTTTAGAACTGTAGAGTTCGGGTTTGTTTGCGGAGTGATTTAACAAGATCCACACTAAAATCTACCCTCAACCTCAACCTCAATCTTCAGTGGCTTAATTTTCTTGATGGATAATTATAATACCTCTCCAGGAACCATCATCTTATCGTGGTGGAGAGGTTTGCGTGCCCTGGTGAACCTGGAGGCTGTGTTGTCTGGAGCCCGGTGCTCCTGGCAGGGTCTCCCAAGGCAAAGTGGTTCCAGGTGAGAGGCCAGACTGAGAATAGTTCACAAAGACCCCTGATGACAAAACGAGGAAGAGGAGGAGAGACCCTGCCCAGAGGAAGCCCGGGGCCCCCGTCTGGAGCCAGGCCCAGAGGGAGGGCTTGTCGGCGAACGCCTGGTGGCCAGGTTTGCCACGGAGCCCGGCCGGGCATAGCCCGAAGAAGCAACGTGGCACCCCCCTCTCTATCCTTTGGACCCACCATCCATCAGAAGATCCGCAGAAGGTGTTTGTTGTTAGACTTCTGTGCTAGTCATGGATTGTCTATAACGAACACCATGTTCGAGCATAAGGATGCTCATAAGTGTATGTGATACCAGAGCACCCTAGGCCAAAGATCGATTTTGTAATCGTTTCATCTGATTTGAGGCCGCATGTTTCGGACACTCGGGTGAAGAGAGGGGCGGAGTTGTCAAATGATCACCATCTGGTGGTGAGTTGGGTCAGAGGATGGGGGAAGACTCTGGACAGACCTGGTAAGCCCAAACGGGTAGGGCGGGTGAACTGGGAACATCTGGAGGAGGCCCCTGTCCGTCCACCTCCGGCGGAGCTTTTCTGGCATCCCTGTGGAGGTTGGGGACATTGAACATGAGTGGGCAATGTTCAAAGCCTCTATTGCTGAAGCCGTAGCGGAAGGCTTTGGTCTCAAGGTCTTAGGTGCATCAAGGGGCGGTAACCCTCAAACACCGTGGTAGACACCGGTGATCAGGGAATCCGTCCGACTGAAGAACGAGGCATTCCGGGATCTGTTGTCTCATAGGACTCCGGAGGCGGTTGCAAGGTACCAACAGGCCCGAAGGGCTGCAGCCTCTGCTGTGGCAGATGCAAAGCATCTGGTGTGGGAGATGTTCGGAGAAGTGTTTCTGGAGAACTGTCCGCCATCTCAGGAGGGGGAAGCAGGGAACCGTCCAAGCTGTGTACATTAAGGATGGGACCCTGTTGACCTCAACTGGGGAGGTAATTGGGTGGTGGAAGGAACAGTTTAAGAAACTCCTAAATCCGACTCTCACAAGTCACTGAGGTAGTCAAACAACACCACAGTGGCCCCAGGGATAAATGAGATCCGCCCAGAAATGCTAAAAGCTTTGGGTGTGGAGGGGCTGTCTTGGATGACACGTCTCTTTAACATTGTGTGGAAGACGGGTACAGTGCCCAAGGAGTGGCAGACTGGGGTGGTGGTTCCCCTGTTCAAAAAGGGGGACCAGAGAGTGTGTGCCAATTACAGGGGTATCACACTTCTCAGCCTCAGCCAACGCCTTTGCGTTGAAAGGAGCCAGTTGAGGTGGTCTGGGCATCTGGTAAGGATGCCTCCTGCACGCCTCCCTAGGGAGGTGTTCCAGGCACGTCCAGCTGGGAGGAGGCCTCGGGGAAGACCCAGTGTGGCTCGGGAAAGAGAAGTTTGGGGTCCCCTGCTGGAGCTGCCCCCGCCCCCAACCCGACCCCGGATAAGCGGATGAAGATGGATGGATGGATGGATAATTATAATAATGGGCGGTACGGTGGACGGTGGACCACTTTGCCCCGGCCTTTCTGTGTGGAGTTTGCAACTTCTCCCCCTGTCCGTGTGGGTTCTCTCCGGGTGCTCCGGCTTCTTCCCACCGTCCAAAGACATGCAGGCTAGGTTAATTGGTGTCTCCAAAATTGTCCTTAGGTGTGGATGTGAGTGTGAGTAGTTATCTGTCTATGTGTGGCCCTGCGATGGACTGGCAACCTTTCCAGGGTGTAAGCCCCCGCGAACCAGAGTTCACATCTGCAGGATATGCAGGATAAGCAGTTGACAATGGATGGATAATTATAATAATAATACATTTTATTTACAGGTGCCTTTTACACCACTCAAGGTCACCTTACAAAACAGAATGAAACAGTATAGCAATAAATAAATAAAATTAATAAAGACTAAAATTACAGTGTGTAAAATCAGGGTACATAAATAATTAGAAACAAAAGATTGCTGTGGCCAGAAGAACAATGATCACTTTGGATAAGCTAGTTTAATAAAATGTGTTTTCAGGTAGGATTTAAATTTGGAAAAGTCAAACTGTGACCACTGTGGTAAAATCGCCTCACAGCTCCACCCCGGTGCTGTTCCTGTGGGCTTGCCTCTGACATACTGTGGACAGCAACGTTGACAATGGATGCACACAGGCACTTCTGTACATACTACTCTGAAGCCATCCCTTGCGAACATGAGCACTGACCAAACGTACGTCATGTGGACCCTCATAGCTACACTACTATGTTTAATTTGCCATTAAGTTAACTATGAATAATAATAGCATAATTATACATGAAAAATGAGTTTCAATTATCTTGTTAATTTCCGGTAATTATAAAATAAATAAATGTGGAAATTATTAATTGATGTAAAATGGTAAAAATGATCTTAAAGTGCAGCCTTTAAATACCAAGAATTCTGATTCTCTTGCCAGACTCAACTCTTTTTTTGTCATTTGGATTTCTTTATTTCCTATGGCAAGCAGCACTGTAACTTGTATGTTGAAGCTTTGGCACATTCTTAGACTTACTTCAGGCTCAATATTGTTTTGAACCCCTGGTATTCTGTCTCTCCATGTAATTATGCACTGTAATTATCATCAACTCACTCAACTGTGCATTGTTTGTTTTGTTTGTTTTGAATTGAAGCTGTCTCCTGTTCTTAACACATTTATTATAGTTTATTTAAATTATTTGGTCTCTTAAATCCTAGCAAAAAATGAACATGAACCTAAACTTAAATAAACATTGTAGGGCTAACCTCACCGTAGTGCAACTGCAGATGATGATGATGATGATGATGGTGATGGTGATTATGTTGATGATTTCAGTGATAATACACAGAGGGAGGAGGAGAGTGCTTTGCAGAAGTGATGGAGATGCTGAAAGCGAAAATGAGCTTCTACCTCGAGTGGTGCAGCCTTGGCCTTGCAGGTATCAATTGCAGTCTGATCAGATGCCGCTGGGATCTGTAGGAGGAAGGACTATTTAGTTCGTGCCAAGTTCTTTCACCCTGATCTGTTTCAGCATGAAAACACTGACCCTGCTGAAGCTGCTAAAACACAGTCCTCACAGCAAACATCCACCTTGTTAGCTAACACCACTCTGTGTTATTCACAGAATTCAATGGCTTCATTTGTCATTTCAATTGTTGTTGTACCCCTGTGTTCCCTCAACCGGCCTCACATTTCTCAGAATTCCTTTTAACAAAGACGAAAAGCATGGCCGTGACCTTGATGCCACTAGTACGTGTAGGTGGAGAGAGCAATAGAAAAAATGATACGAAGCAGGCAGAATCAATTTATCCTTTTGAGAAAACTGATGATATTTTACCCTTCAGTCAAACAAGCATTGTTTCTTCATTGCAAAGTAGGTAACTGAGTTTACTCAACGTTTAATAATAAATGTCTCCCAATAAAATTGTTGAATCCCAGAAAAAAAGCCCTCACTCTTCCATCCTGTGTGGCTGACACCAAGATTTGCTTTTTACTGTTGCTGTTAAGAATGGAAAATTGTTATTTTTTAATGTTGTGCTCCACTAAACTAACTGGCACTGGAAATAACTTAACCTAACTAAATGTCACTTAACTGTGAGTGTTATAAAAACACACCATAAAACATCAAAATAGTGCCTCAATGCCAAACACATCACCAACCAATGTTTTTTTCCATCTGTCTTTTCGTCTTTCCTGAGGAAAACCCAACATTAAGCCTGCAATCATTCACAAAAATAGGGCATAGTCACAGCGGGATAAAACACTGAGCTTACAGTCTCTTCAATTTGTCAGGTTAGGCAGTCCTGACGCTGCAGCCCACACACTGTGTAATCTTGAGCCTACATTGACATTATTGTGACCGGGCTTTTGCAGTGAATCAGTGACATCTTTTAACTCACTTGTGAAAACATTTCTCTTTTGTTAATTGTACCACACATGGTTTTATTGCCAACTTGTCTTATCTGTTTTATTATTAGTATTTGTCTTTATTGTTGGTGGCTTTATTTTTTATTGATTGATTTCTGTATTATTTTAATTGTTTTACTTTTATTACCTCAGTGGGGAAATGTTTTCATCCTGGTTAAACTATGTAAAGCACTTTTTGAAAAGTTTATTAGTATTATTATTAACATTATTAACAGTGAATTATGTTTTCATTCCTCACAGGGAGAGAGACGCATAGCTTCATTAATGTATGCATGATCCATCGTCAGCCCTCAGCTGCTTAATTGGGTCAGTGGCAGGCCGGCCGTCTCTCTCCGACCTCAAAGTAGGAGGGAAACATCCAGGAGAGTCTGGCAAATGGTGTTTGGGGGAAATATATATTTCTAAAAGTAATACGTTTGGTTGTACTTATTTCTTAGTTATCATGTTAAAAATGTACTTTCACTGAGTTAGTAGTTGCTCTGTAATTTAAAACAGCATGCAGTGGTTACTAGTGTTGTTGTCAAGACTGCCCAAACCGAGACCAAGTCAAGACCAAGACCAGAGTTTATCAAGTATGAGACTTTTAGGGGCTGAGAGCAGTCGAGACCAAGACCACTTCCCTGCATTGCATGGCACACAATAGCAACAAGATCATAGGTACTTCTCAAATTGATCTGAAAGATCCACATTCCCATTAAAACACCCACATACAAACACTAAGAGCTGAAATCAACGTAAGCATTGCGGGGAGGGGTGACAGTCATTAACGGGAACAACACATGTTTAATTAGGGTTATTGGTTGCATTTGAAGCAATAAGTTTTACATCCAATCAAAGTTAGAATGTTAACAAATCAGACAATGCAAAAGCAATTTCTTGATATTCCCAAAGTTGTCCCCGCTTCTTCTTAAAGTTTGGAAAACAAAACAAAAATCCTAATCTATTGTTCTTTAATTGAAGATCACAGAGACAAATGAGATAAGTTGCTATTTATCACTAAAAATGTTACTTTTAAAATCAATTCACCTGCCACTTTTGCTAAATTTTATATAAAAGAATAGTTCAACATTTTGGGAAATATGCTTATTCACTTTCTTGCTGAAAATTAGATGATCTTGTATGTGTGTGTGTATGTGTTAAGTAATCTGAAACCGGGAGGAGGTTAGTTTTGCTTAGCATAAAGCAGGAAGCAGTGGATTGCTCTAAATTTCAAATATATATTTAAGTGTTTTTAAATTCTGTGGAAAGTATTTCTTTATGAGCAATTGTTTATCCATCCACCCAGTTTTCCTTTAGTTACCTGGCAACCTCTGTGACAATAGGACTTCAGGAAGTCTGTTCTCCTCGTCTGAAATAGTTATAGCACATAACTCCCACCACCAACTGTTGTTTTTAAAATTCTGTTTTTGTAGAGATTGAACAAACAACCTTGACCTTCTCAGAGAGCCATGCTTCCAGTCTTTATGCTAAGCTAGGCTAATTGCCTAAACAGACATGAGAGGGACGGCCATTATCACATCTAACTCTTTGGCAAGAAAGCCAATAAGTATATTTCCCAAAACTGTGGCAAATGTGGGTTTGCTGTACCGCTCTCACACTTGCCCTGTTAAACCACAGCCAAAGGCTTTGCTCAAGAGCACCTCAGCAGAGCCAGCAAAGGAGGAGCAAAGGGATACTACAATCAGCTCTGCAGAACCCGTAAGGGATTCAAACCAGGACCTTCTGAGGCAAGTTTGCGATCAGTAAATAAATGTACTTGACTTTACTTAAAAGTCATGCAAAACCACACAGGAGTTTTGACTTAATCTGCCTCATTGAAACCCGGCTCAAACTAAAGGTGGGCTATGCTGGGAGTTATGTGCGTTTCAAAGTAATGCGTTACTCTAATCAGATTACTTTTGTTTGTAACGCAGTAATTTAACGCATTACTGTTGATAACTTAAGTTATCACATTACAGTTGCTAATAACAAAATCATTGCATTGCTTGCGTACTGGTCCGCATAATGGGAGGAGAAAAAAATAAATCAAACGTCCCTTTTCGTACATGTTTGCATAACACTTTTCCGCAACACTTTTGACTTTATCGCCAGTTCATGAGGATGCAGAAATGGCAGAGCTGCTAAAGACTTCTTTCGAGGGGTGGAAGTACTGTATTAGTTTCGCGACAAACGATTTGAGGAGATTCCTGCCCAAGAGGGAACAATTTACTTTAAAGCCATAGTTTGGCAAGTGAGCTACAGTGAGTTTGTTGTGTGGGTTTGGCCTGTTAACTGCACAGTTCAAATTACATTACAGTTTTTCCTTTGAAGTCTCACCATCATCTGATATTATGATGGGGGCCAGTATCTTTTTTTAAAATATTATTTTCAACAAATTAATATTTGCACTGGTTGGAAGAACAACCTATTTTAGGTTATGATTTATTGTAATGCAGTTCATTATTTAAAAAATAAAAGTTCTAAGCATTATAGTATTACTGTATTGTACTTCTCTTGACAAATGTTGGGCTGATGTTCACAACTTTGTTGTCAGCTTTGTAATATTACATAGCATAAAAGAAAGATCGTGTGTATGTTCTCATTAAAATAAGGATTTGTGTTGATCTGGGCATATATGAGGTGTGACTTGTTATTTGGCAGTTATTGTGCATCACAGATGATTTTACGCAGTAATCCAAAAGTAATATAACTAGTAGTGTAACTACTTACTTTCAGCAGTGAGTAATCTAGTAAAGTAAGGCATTACTTTAGAAATGTGTACCTTTTTTGAGTAACTACCCCAAAACTGATTATGTGACATCGCCAAAGCCAACTTACCAATAAGACTGATAAAGGTGTGAGTTGTCATGTCCACCCACTCAGTCCTGAGAGGACTTAATCAAGAAACATAAGTGAAAATGCATCTGAAGGTGTTCCTAGGGTGTGCAGGGCCTTTATCTCTGGTTACAGGCCTGCCTCTTCAACCTTTAGGTCCCTGCTTCCTATGTTACTAATGTAAAATATATTTCTATGTTCGAACAGCACTTCAAAACATTGGCTGGTTGCCTAAGTGGCTTTTTAAGTGAACTGACTAGAAGACTGGGCAGTATTTAGTATTTTAACTGGTGGTTATAAACCTCTTTTATATTACTGCTCTCTACATGGTACCCCATTAAAGGATGACTGTCTGGAGCTGAGAGATTAAATCCCCGAAAATGTTCTATTACATACAAATCAGCAATTTCAACTAAAAGTAAAGTGTACCTGCAGGTCGCGGACCCCTCTGTTGGTGAACGTCAACACGTATACCATTGCCCGGCCGCCCACATACAACATGTCGCTCCCTTCCTGGTGGTACATGCTGATGTAATTCTCGGGTTTGTTGAAGTGGAACCTGGATGGCTCTGTGGATCGTAACAAAACATATTACAGAGATGAGCTGGCAGACAAGAGCGTCGCTAGGGTACATTGTAGTTTTAATTGTTATTTTAAGTGTATGTGTTTTTGTTTGTGCAATGATAATATGCCCTTGGGTAATAACGTTTACTTAATGTAAATGAATTTAACTCAATTAAATGTATTCTAAAAACAAGACAAAAAAGAACAACAGTAACCATTTCGGATTTTAACAGCCTAACCTCCGCTGTGACTACTACTAAGGGAATAATTAAAAGGCAGAAAGAAGAATATATTCAACATATTTCCAATCACAGTCCATTTGTAATTTCCATATTCCCAAATGAGGAAATCAAAACAAAGTCAAATCCACAGTTAAAGCAAAACATAAAAAATAACAAGGTACTCTTATTAAAAATATTATATATATAAGTAGAGGTCAGTTTCAGGAAGTTATTTCAAAAGATGATCCAGATTTAGCTAGCCTAAGCTCCTCAGGCAGGTCGAATCAAAGTCTGGAACCCCAGGTGGCAAAGAGCCAGACCTCTGGATTTTAATCTACATTTAATCTGCCGTCACTATGAGAGCCAGCTCGAGGACTCCTGGCTATGTACTGGTATGATTTACCAAAACACGTGATCTGACGTTACTGCCCTTTGTGTTTTTAGATTAAACAGGGAGTGTTTACAGAAACCTGGCTTGGGTGTTAGAGGAAAAGGGCATTTGGTGGGAGCATAAATATCACTGAAATAATCATACGGGCAAATACCATCACAGATGCTTGGTTGAATTACACTCAGGACACCCCCAGAAGGCCCATTTTGGCATTTCTGATTCACCCATCCAATCAGTCCCACTTACCTACACTGCAAATGTGCCTACATTTAATAATGGATTAAAATCACTGCAACTCTTGAAAATATGTGTTTGCATGCGAGATGTCTAATATTTATTGCTTTATAATTAAAGAGGGCTTTATAAAACATCACAATTTTAAGTCGTTAAATAGGCCAGTCAGACCTTTTTCCTTCAATTGGTCTCTGCTCCAGTAGTATATTTCTCCCCTTATTTTGTCAAGAGACATTTCATAAAATTCCAGTCTGAAGAGTTTAAAAGCTTTGTAGCAAACCAACCAGCTTCCTGTCAGGGCTTCTGACAATAGTTTTAATCACATTATAATACCGTGTGAAATCAGCAAATTTAAAAAGGAGGAATAAGATTGCTAACAGCTTTTCATTTTCCCTTTCATTTTCACAAAAAAAATTACTTCACGAGTAGAAAATAAAATCAAAATGTAATTCCAAACTGATGATGCATTTTGCTCTTGATAGATGTACTAATAATGACAAGAGATGATTATATGGTCTTGGTGCATGATATCTATAATGATTTTCTTCTCTTCCCTGAAATAAAAAAGACATCCAGTCTGACAGCGAAGCCAGGATGAAGTGGTGGTGATCACTGATACAGGTTGCTAGCCAACCAACTAAGTTTCTATGGAAACAGTTGCCTCTCTGATTGGCGGGAACCTAATTGATGAAGCTTATACTTCACAAGGAACACTAGTGTATCTAATGGCTTTGGAAAGAACATATTCATTTCACTGTCTGATGATCTTGAGAGGAATCCCTTGTAGCTGGCACACAGACAGATTGGTATATATATTTGTTAGGAAGCAGAACATCATACCATAAGTGTGCCTATGGTAATTCAGTCTGGTTTCAACAATGAGAAATGGAGAAAATGTTAATATTCTGGTAAACAGACCAACATCAAGCTCAAAGAATTTTATAAATTGAAAATAGTAACTAGTGCTAACCTGCATAGTGCCCTATCAGCCCTACTGCCCTAGCTACTTCATCTCTACAGTTTCTTTAGCGTGAGTTTTGTGAAACTCATCCACTTAAATCTACGCTAAATCTAAGTCTTAATCATTTATTTTTTATGATGAGCCAATATCTTATCAATTTTTTCATTTAATTTTTAATTTCACAAAATTTTACAGACAGCTGAGCTCAACAAGATGCTCAATTTCTCCACGAGATAGCCAAGTCAATATTTTTATCCAACGTGTCTCAACTTTCTAGTGTTCATTAAATTTACCTTTGTTCCATTTCTGTTGAGGGTCTCCTAAAATGTAATAGAACTTGGTTCAGGTTAACCTGAGCACAGCCAGCAAAGCAACTTGTTAAAGGTACCCTGTGGAGTTTTATGGCCACTAGTAGCACTATAGGGCAATGTTTTCATGAGTGGGCCCCAATTTAATTGGTTTTCATGCGTGCTCCTGAGCACACTGGTGACGCAACACACAATCCTGCCAATGGACTCACACTGTTCCACCATACTTGCCAACCTCAAATCTTTTCCCAACAGCATTTCCGAAGACGAGGTGGGGACACTGCGTCACATGCATGCTAGGAAACACATGCATGCTAGAGTTGTAGGGCTTATACGCGCGGTACCGTGTAGGTAGCGGGGTTATGGGAATGACAAGGACAAAATGTTGTGAACAGCAGGCATATATCGGGAGGAATATGGGAGAGGGCAATGAAAAACAGTAGTCTCCCAGGCAAATCGGGAGGGTTCCGCTGATCTACAAGTAGCAGTACTGTGCCATCAAAAGGCAGAGAAGAACCAGACTGCTAGAAAGTAGACATGTAGATAAATAATGTAGGTTTCAAATTTCAATTTTTTTTTAAGAAATCAGCTTTACGAATGTTTTATGACGAAGAAAATACATCCAAGATTTCTGTTAGGCCTTAAAGCATAAACACAATGAGTTGTGAGCAACACTGATTGTCACATACACTGTAAAGAATGTTTACCAAAAAACTCCACAAGGCACCTTAAAAATGACACATAGGCAAAGCTCCTCCCCCACTTTCTCTTACTGGACAAAGTGTTTGACCGTCAGAGATGCTGTCCCAGCTCTTTAAATAGATGTACAGTCATTTTAACATTGTTGTATGCCATGTCTTTCTTAACACAATATCAAAAGGGTCACACATATACAACTGAAATGTCACATTCAGGACGTTATTTGAACTCCTAACTTCTCTCTTGTGTGAGCATGTGTTTCTTTTTTCCCCAAAACATTTAATCATTGCTGCTGGGTGAAAACATTGAATTTTCAAAAGGTCAGCTTTTCAGGAACAAAGAAAAACAGCGTTGTTTTTCAAAAAATAAAAAGGCTTCATTGAACTCAGGGGCTGTGGAGTTTCCTTACTCTCAGAGGAGCATGTAATTCTTGAATTAAGTTAAAACATTTTTAGTGAGTCAAGAAACTAATTCTTAATTGCAGTAAGACATGCTAATAAAGAAGAGAAAAGCACAGATGTTGTTTTTGGGATTAGTTTCCACTGAATACATGACTCAAGCTTTCTGGATATTGAAAAAAACAGAGGCAAAGTCAAACGGCTTTTGTGTCTAGAAACTTTTTAAAGCTTTTCTGTTTGGAACCAACAGATAAGAGCTACCATGTAATATATAGAGAATAATTAACTGCAAAGTTGTTAAGTGGTTGGACCTCAAGGTCCTTCATTATGAACTTGACAAAAAAGTCAATGACCCTCATGGTTGAACAGGGTTTTTGTATTGAGGTGTTCAGCCCTTCAACTGAGAGAGAAGGTCAACACATACGATGGCTGAACTTTGGTAAAATGGTTTGATATTTAGGAGGCAGCTGTTTATGTCAAACTAGCCTCCAGATGAGTTGTTGTCTTTCATTCCTTTGCTCACTCTCTTTCTTTGCATTCGTCTTAATATCTCTCCTCTTTCTCTCCCTTATGCCTCTGGTTTAGATTCTCTTTGTGTTTATCCTGCTTTGTCTCTCGCGACCTTTTGATATCCTTGTCACTAAGCAAATATTCAGAATGAGGTGTGTTCACATAATTTAAAGAAAGGCAGACTTTCATTTTCTCTCACCCTATTCACTAACTAATCCATATTCCTAATGGTACTTTCAGACCACACACAAGGCGAGACTTACATAAAAAGTCAGTGAAAAGCTCAGTGCCGGAGCTTTTGAACAACTAAATATCCTTAGCAAAACTGGATTCTGCTCTGACAATTGAGCTCTTTAATGGCGGGAGGAGATCAAAGGTAATTTTATTCAATTTACTTTTTGCTTATAATGTTTATAAAGGATTATAAAATTGATTTCTCTTCATTCGTGCTTCTCAGCAAGCCACTGTGTGTTTCCGACTTCCACTGAACCTTGCTTGGAGAAAAGTAAGCGAGGAAGTTGAACTACCTGGTAAGTTCAGAAAATATGTGTTACTTGATTCCAGCTATTTTTGTACTTTATTTTGAACAAGTTAGCATAGCATAAGTCTGATAGATCTGAATTCCATTCAGATTGCATTTTAAAAGTCATTGTCTTGCTATCTTGCTGACAGACCTGAAAAAGAATGAATATGTGTTTAACAAATCGGCATCATGTTGTAGTTATTTTGGCATTATTGTGATCCATTTATTGCAATTAAATCACAGCAAAATGTTTGTTTTGGGTTCATACCGCTGTAGTAAACGAGGTTGTGTTTACTCGCGTAAACTCACGTTTTCACCTTCCGGGCAAGTAGTTCAACTAGTCACGTGACGCAAACATTAAATTCGTTTGGTCTGAATCCTAATTCAGTCCGTTAAAGAAGTGAGGAGAAATACTAAACACCCCCACTTTGACCAACCTTTGTCATATTTTCTTACCTGAACAAATACACACATACACTCTCATGTGTGTATAAATATTAAACATTATTGTTGTTGTTATTTTTATTAAAGCTGCACTAATCATTATCATATACTATGATCGGGTTAGATGTCTAAAGGTGTGGCATATCAAGATGTGATGTGAGGTGGATGGATTATCTCGGCATAGGAGAAGTGCTCACTTACACAGATCATGACAGATTTATGAACAATATTTAAGAGAGGCCTTTTGTGTACATAGAGAAATTCTTAGATTTTTGAGTTCAGCTCATGACGAATGGGCTGAACTCAAAAGTGTTGCGTTTATAATTTTGTTCAGTGTATTAATGTTGCTCTGTGTCCGCGGGTTGTGTAAATAAGTGTCTACTTGCTTACACATTTGCCATATTAACATCATAAATGTGGGTGTGTGTGTGATGTTCATCTTATCAATGAATTCTGGTCTCATTTATATAAATAAACTCTAAAAAAAGTTTATACAAAAACTGATACTATTACTTTCATGAAACATATTGTACTTATATGCTCTTAGTGGTTTGTTTGGGAGAGATGCAGTCTTACAATTTTTGATGACAGTTTTACAGCAGCAGTAGGGGAATTATTTAAAGATATTTTCTAAAACTGTCACAATATCCTGACAGTAGCACATTAGACAGACAATCTGTAAAAAAATATAAATAAATAATGATGATAATAATAGAAAATAATAATTCCTCTGGCTCCTCCTACTTCTGATGCCATTTGTCAGAATCCTCCGCTGCCCAGGGGCCGCAAAGCGTTGGAAGGGTGTCTTTGGCTGGGGTCTTGGCGAGACTCTCGCCTTGGAGAGCGAGCTCTACCCAAGATGAGATTTGGCAGGTTTGGCTTTAGCCTTCAGTTGCCATACATCTTGTAGGTTTTGTAGGAGGGGCTTAGCGGAATGATGCGAGCAGCAGAGAGCGATGCGTTGTTACTGACTGCAGCTTTAATGCACTTATTGTAATAGCTTTGGACAAGTGCCAAATGACTGCATGGCCTACAATGACTTTAGCCATCACATATCTAACCTTAACCCTTCAACTAAACCCAACCTTAATCTAAATTCTAACACCAGGTTGTAGTCCTCAGACAGTTCCTGGAAGGTATACAAATGCCAAATACACTCATTTGGCACAATGTGCAAAGGAAAGACATTTTACCGTCTGAGGACCTAGGCGCTGTCCACAGTGCTGAAACAGCGCCAGCTTCTTGTGAAGGTTTTGCACTTCAGGCTCAGATTGCGCCTTTGATGGATTTCCTCTGACAGTTATCTGTAGACGTGTGTGTGTGTGTGTGTGTGTGTCCTAACAACAAACATTTATAGCTCACCAATTGCATAACGCCGAGTTTGATTGATATGACATGCACGTCCGGGGCCGTCATCTTGTGCGTTTTGTACTGTGCTCATCCGTGAGGAGGGGAGGGATACAGATACAGATAACTTGACACACACTGACACACAGCCCCCATCTCTACTGATTGCTGAATACATTAGCGGGCTGCGTGAGGTGTAAAAAGGCGTGAGTGGAATAGATAACTAGGAGGAGGCTTGGAATGTTCCATTCATTGCTCTCCCCTCCCTTTCTCCTTTTCTGTACATTTGTACATGTATGTGTTCATGGCGACTGCTACCCTAAAGCAACCCTCTCTTTCCTGGAGCCGGACTCATCTGCTGCAGTGTGAAGCAGCTGCCGTGTCCCGCATTGCAGCTCCGCAAGGACGCGGGAGCTACAGTGACTGTGTCAACCTTCAAAGAGTCATATTTCACAGTAATGATGCTTTTCAGCAGTGACAGGCGGGTGTTCAGCCTCGCGATGTGTTTAGGGCGAACTGGCGCCATGATCCTCCAGAAGGCAGGGGATAGGTTGTTTTTGAGCACTGGTTTTCTTCGCTTCGGTGCGCCTGGAGGTGAGGATATGGAGGGACCGTCGCCAATTAGAGCTTAGGTGCCCCTAACTGATAAACAACCAGCGATGGTGCATTTTAAACACAGCACACAGTGTACTTGTGGTGCTCTAAGATAAAGCGAACACACAAGTTGTCGAAAAGACCAACAGAAAAGCCACAAGTTGCACAAATCATATCCAAATTATTCTAATGTGCCTTTGTGCGAGTGTGTAGCCTACATAATGTAACATGGACATTTAATGGAAACGTTAGTTTCTAATGTAGTAATTAATAACCAAACTGGCAAAGAAAAACCCAAAAACACTAAGGTCATATTCTGTATATAATATACTGTTAACATTAAGATTATACAGAACTAGTTTTCCTCCAGATGCTCATTCTGTTGTAGCCGGTGAACATGTGTGTGGGGCCTGAATGTTGGAGCGCGTAATTTACTACTCTGTCTGTGGGGGTAGGGGGAGGGCGGTGTATTCAGATAGCCTACTAATCCAGAGGTAGCCTGTCAATATGGTTTTATTGGTACTGTTTGTGCAGCTTTAGCAAAGGACAAGAGAACATGGGTTAATGAAAAGAACTGGAAAAGAACTGGCGACCTCGTGACTAAACTCTCACTCCATTCATGCATTCATTCACTCATCCCTCCATCCATTCAAGCAGTCATTAATCCACTACCTACAATACACATAATATAGATTAATAAAAACATGCTTGGCGACATTAATAATTGGCTGAGTGACTTAAAACCAGAAAATATAGCACTGCCTACCATGCACAACAAATTTCAGCCGAGGTGACTTTCCGGCGATAATCGTGGCAAAAAGCGACAGCAGGATGAAAGAATTCATCTTTCTTGAAGCTCTGTCTTGTGTAGCCGGTTTGTAAAAATACGAAGCCTTCCTCAAAAATCCCTCTTCTTTCCTTGCAGTCGCCTGTATGGTCCCTCCCCGAGCTACTGCGTTCCAGATCTGTGCCACCGACTGCTGGTCCCAGTCCTATCTTGTCCGTCTGCTTCGCCGGACCGGCAGTTCAGTTTGGAGAAGTCGGGGTATCAGGCTCCACCTCGGAAACAAAATGCAAAGGGGGGAGTGTAGCCTTTCAGCAGGCACGCAGGAATGAGAGGTGGGATGGCAAAAAATGACTACAAACACAATCCCTTTTGGTTAACAAAATACAGGCATGTAGGATTACGCGTCATACCTGTTGCTGATAGTGAACGATGTTTTTCACTGATGTTTTTACATCTGACTGCACCTTTAAAATTATGTTTGTTTTTTTTAAATTAATCTTATTTTAATTTTACATCCGTTTACAATGGGGATCACATGATTGTATTTTCCTGGTACCATCTTTTAAATATATTTTATTAATAATAATTTCCCTTTATGAAATGTTGTTGAAATCAGAACAAAATATAACAACATAAATAGATACATGTCCATGTGCAAATGCAGGATTACTGAATTTCATAATTTCACATGCTGTTCTGAGGATATTTAAGCCTACAGCCCATTCTCAGGGCCATTTTGTGTTGGCACACAAGCCCTCACACCAACAACCAATAATGATATTGCCTCAGCAACTGCTTCTACTGTAATGTCTAATCAATGTGTCAATAGTGCCTAAGTGCTTGAATGGGAATGAATCAGCAGTTTGGCTCTGCTGCGCTTGCATTTGTGAAGTAAATTGAGTCAAATTTGAAAAATTGAACCATTCTAAATTGTGAATGCCTTTTACTGGAAGCAACCAAACATATGCTTCCATTTTCACAACATTGCTCTCTGTCTTAGGCACCAACTAGAGCGTCATCTGGATTTCTATGAGAAATTTGGGAGCAGTGTACTTCTTGCAAGGGAAATCAGCATGGGGCTATTTTGAAAAACAGAGAAGCGTTATTCTTGAATTTCCTCAATTCAGAAAGCAATAGATGCCACACACAAGTGGGTCCTTGGTAAAAACAAACCTATAAAACCCTATCCACTCGGGGGCCAATTTCCCTTTTTCAAGCATCTTTCATATGCTGTGATTGTCTCTCAAAATTGCCCCTTAAATCAAGACCTTTGAGTTCAGTCAAAGATGTAAATCCTTATTTACAAGCGCAAACTCTTAGAAGGTTGAAATTCAGTTGTTTTACTCTTAACAATTTCACCACACATGTTTAACCTGATATAAGGTAAAGGTAAAGGGAAATATACAAGGGAAATATAAGTATATATGCTGTAAAAAGAAATTCAGTTCTCTTGTTAATTTGGTGAAATTTAACCTATCTGATGCTTAAAACAATGGTTAGCAGCCACCTACGTATTTACCATGACAGATAAATACACTAAGTATTGATGTTTTGTGTCACAGCATAACTTTTATTTATTAGTGATTGAGCTTCTTCCTCTCTTTCTGCTTGCCTTGCTTACTTTGTTAACATCAGTCTAACATTATCCAAATAGTACTGACACCTCTATGTTTAAACTTTCAACTATATGGCACGTATGACCTCACTCAACAGTGATGTCATTTTGAATTATGCAGTCAGTCCAATGATGGGGTGGGAACATTGCATCCACTAGATGGCAGCAGAAGCAAGATTTTCAATTTGTTTCATCACAGCAAGCTAATGATTCTGCCTCCTAAATCATTACAACAGGGCTCTCCTGTCTCCTTCAGCAGCTTACTGCACTGATTAGCTGTCTCTCCTAGAAGGTTTTTGCGTGAAATCACCCGGTGGGCTCTTTGTCTCAAAGGTTGCAATTGCAGGAGAAAGAAAAGAAGATGACTTGATTAATTATTTTGCATCCAATGCAGGAATCATCATCGTTTTTAAATCTAGAGTTGGCATAAAAGCAAGTCTGAAAACTGGATTATATGGCCATTATCAAATTGGATAGATTTCCTTTTTTAAATGTATTTGTTTATAATTGTTGGAGGCAAAAGTATTTAATCCATATTTAAACATCAATCACCCCACCACCAAAAAAAAAAAAAAAAAAAACACAGGAGTAGCATTTTTGTAGCTAAATCTAACATTGTCTTACAATGCTGTTAAGTGTTTGGTCACACTAGCAGTTTGATAAAATAATGATGTGAAGTAATATACATTGGGGATAAAATGGTAATAAATGATGATGTTCAATAATCATGGAATTACCTGTTTGTACTGATTGAAAAAGCTGAGGCCATCTCATGTCAAAAGTAACAAAATAAGCTAATCAAAGCAAAGGACAAACACACAAATGGCAAATGCAGGTACAGCTTAATTGGATGGCAAACAAAATGAAAACACAATACAACTTGATTGCAAAAAGGTTGGGCACTGCAGGTCTTCTTTTTAATGTCTTCTATCCAAATGAAATCAAGGTAAGACAAATAATCGATGCAAATTGGAATATGCTATTTATTAATTGTAATAAATCCATTTAATTTGTGGTTTTAGCACCACTTGCTGGTGAAAATCAATATAACCAGCAGAATAAAACTATAGATAGATAGGATAGTTAGGATAGGTAAAATGATTTTGTGTTTTATGTTATCTCCGTTTTCCAGTGATGAAGCAATGTGATACAAAATCCAATACACACAGACACAAATCACAGATTACTTCATTTAGCAGGTTAGAGCAATTTAATTTCACCTCTAAAAACAAAAGTTAACATGTAAATAACCCAAACTTATTTCAGTGTTGTTCCACGGATAGCAGTGTCAGTCAGTCCAACATTTGAACATTGAAATGTCTTGAAAGCCGTTGGTTGGATTGCCATGAAATTTGGTATAGACTTTGATACTCCAAAGAGGATTAAATCAAATTGTTTTCACTGTCCTCTTTCTCTAGTGCTACAAAAGGTCAAAATTGTGTGACACTCGGCCTAGGGGAAACCAGGACATGAAAAGACTCATTTTTGCAAACCCCGAAGAATCACCTGATAGTCAGGGGCAGGAATAATGTCTGGACAATCAGCTGGTTTATTCTTACTTGGTATATGAAGAAATGAACTTCAGAGTGAGCATAGCTGACAGACTAGCAGTTGGCAGTAAAGAGGGTCATCCACTAATCATAGAGTTGGTGGTTCAATCCCCAGCAAAGCATTCTGCTTAGACTTGAAAGGGGACCCTTTCATAAGCCCTTTTGAGGAAAGTACCAATGTGGCCTTTCCTTTGGCCCCATGTAGGAATCTAAATAAAACAGCTTTGCTTTTTCAATATTAATCCAGCAAACATTTTTGTTTTCTGGTGTGTAATAAACATTCCCTAACTTCTGTTAGAGTGACTGATCACACAAGAAATTCATACAGTATTTCTTGTCAAATAACAATGTCTGTCTGTCTAAAACTCTCCCCTGTAGGGATAAGAGTTTAGACTAGAATAGAAGAGCTCTGATTCAATCCAGTTTAGAACCAGGTAAGATGGTGATTGAGACAGTAAGAGCTGCAGGCAGAGTTAATTGAGAAATAGACCAAAATAGCAAGGACTATCATTCCCAAATACATCATGAAAATATAACAATTTAGATCTTAAGGGTGACGAGAGGTCCAGATCTGGTATGGATTTTGCACTAATCTCCTGGTCAAACAAATCATGAATTTATTTTTAGAATGAAAAGTTTTTGTAGTGCCTGCTTCTTACTTGTTATACTGTTTCTAGCACTTATAAACTGCAGCCACAGTAATATTCAATTAAGCCCCCCTCGTTGTTAGCGTCTTGTAATTCAAGTGATCTAATCATATAAGCCTATTCCCCTGTCACTCTGGATAACAAATATCTACAATGTAAATGTAAAATACATCTCTTGTTGTAAAGAAATGCTCCCATCTTTGCAGTCAAACCAGAGGAGGAGCTTGAAATTAAGTTAACAGCAGATGAGAAAAGACCATAATGTTCTGTGTGGAGTGTGCATGCCAGTCATTGGGGGGGGGGAGTGGCTTATAAACACCACTTTAATCTGCCCCTTTGGCTTTCTGTCCAATGGGAGCAAAGAGTTGTATTAAAATAGATAATGTGACAGGCCAAGCTAGGCCAGAGGATGCGCCAGACAGACCTATATAACAGATTGAGACATGCAGAGGTAATCCAAAAGGGTTTAAATCTCTGCTCATACACGTGATTATCTTTTTTGGGGGGTGGGGGGTGAATCCACTCTGAGCACTGCAAGTCTCTAAACTGTACTAAGGTGAAGTGAGTATGATTCATTGGTTAATGTTTGCCTTGTCACTCTCTGACAGTGCAATATTCTGTTGGGGAGTCAGCAGTGAAGGATATGCAGCAGAGGACACTGTCAAATGCCAGTGTTTATTTCCAAAGACTTTCATTTGTATTTTAGCGGGGGTACACATGGCTCTGAGAGAAAACAGAAAGCCACAACAGTATTCCTCTGCACAGATAATCCTTTGTCTTCACTCAGAAAAATACAAAAGACAAACGTACATTTGTTTGCAAATGCCATCTGTAGCTTTGTTGTCTTACAAAGGGGCAAGAAGGCCACTTTCTGTCTCAAAGTGAAAGACAAAGTCCTCACAATGGACTCACAGCATAGAGATTAAGTGCTTTGGTTATGCAAGAAGATGTGTCCTTCTCTTGCCAATTTCCCAACAATAGAGTCATTTCAGATGATGATCCACTGAGAGATTGGTTTTAAGATGATTGGATCAGTTTGCCCCCCCATTTGATAACATTCCAAAATATTTGACATGAAGCAATTCAAGGCATACACACAAGACAGGTTTAGATATAGGCATTTAATAAAGTAAAATGAAAATAAGTCAGTCATTTATGAACAAGACAGCAAACAAAGAAATCTGTCATTGCTGTATGTGTCCATCATTTACATCCTTTTTTCCTGGCATAATAAAACATTGCTTTGTGCGTAGTGCATCTACACAGTTACATTTATACACAACAAGAGTTTGAGTGACACTAATCCCCAGAACTAGATAAAATGACAGAATAAATCCAGCGCACACAAACGCCCTTGACCTAAATATTTACAAGATAACAATCAGGTGAGCATTCTCTCTGTCAATGGTGAGAATGTTACTGAGGCACATATTTTTCAGTGTTTTGTGTGGATAAAAAATAAAAAAAATGTTTCTTGAATATAAAAAAGAGAAATCATAGCATCTCGTGATGGAACATAAAGAGTCATCTAATCGAATTACATGATAAAATAATATGTTACAAAATCAAAACGGTG